CTCTCTCTTATCCTTTAATATCTTACCACTTCAGAGAGATAAAAGATAATATTCTTCTCCAAATTACAGACGTAGTTGGCTACTTATTGCTTATCACATATGCCCCCCCTCCTTTGTGAGTGCAGCCTGGCCAGCCTTCCTGAAGCAGTATTTGGCGTGGGGAGCGTGCTGGCTGTAGGCAACCCATAGTAATCGGCGGTGACAGCTCTTAGGCACAGCACGAATATGGGCACGGGACTTCTCTCCAGCTTTGATGATGTTCAGGATCAGTGCTGGGCCAGGCTGCCGGGGTGAACAGAGTCCTGGATCTGTATACAGAGAGGTTGAGCATCTCCAATCCAAAAATCCGAAATCTAAAGTGCTCCAAAATCTGAATATTTTTGAGCTCTGACATGATGCCACATGGAAAATTCCACATCTGACTTCAAAAGATACAACCTTGTTTTGTGCACAAAATCATTTAAAAATGTATAAAATTGCCTTCAGGCTATGTCCATAAGGTGTATATGAAATATAAGCTAATTTCGCATTTACTCTTGATCCCATCTCCAAGATAAACTGTTATGTATATCGCAGTTGGCCAACACGATCCAGAAGACTGGCTCCATAGCCAGCTCACAGACACACAGATTTCTTGTGGGCATTCCTACTTACAGACTTGGCTTCCTCTCTGATGAATTTCAGAATCCCTCAAAATCAGAAACACTTCTGGTCGAAAGCATTTCCAATAAGGAATACTCAACCTGTATTCACACAAAACCACACCATGGCTATTCCACAAGTCAGATTTACTTGGAAGGCTCTTAAGACCAATCAGAAGATGAATCAAAACAAGGTATAGCAGGCCTAAGTTGTCAACATAAACATACACGCACACACACACATACACACACATACCCTAACTTGGACCCCATGTGTTGGATCCCTTCCTTACATGAATCAAATGCTTTCTTTTCCCCAGAAATGATGATGGTGTGCAAAATACACGGCAAGGACACCAGCCCACCAGAGCTACCCACAGGTGTTGTGCTGGACAGGGTCCTGGAGGCCCCCTTAAGCCTTTAAACATGGAATTATGGGGAATTTTGAAGGAGACTAGAGAAGAACCAGAGTAGCCAAAGAGGCCAGAGAGCAGCAGGAGAGGGGGTGGGTGTGTTTCTTGAGGGCTCAAAACTGATGGGCACATTTAATATTTGAAGAACAGGCAAGGCTGTGCTAACCCCATGTGGCTGAAGATCAATCGTGTCCTTGCCCTATTCCCAATCAATATGCAGGAAAGAATAGAAAGATAAGCAAAATTCTATATGCAAAGAACATGGCTTTATTGGACAAGCTCATTAAGATTGCTGGGTTCCCTTCGCCATAGAGTTCTCTGCACACCAGTGTCCAGGGCGTGGGTAGGGACTGAGAGTCTCTTCGGGCCTGGTGAAGACTGCTCTGTAAGCGAGGGCTTTGCTTGACTTCCCTACCTGTAGAGCTTTGAGGCACTAAGGGTCGTGAACATTACTACCTTAGGTCCTCGGCCCCCAAGAACGCCCAGCTCTGGCCCTCAGCTCACCAGCAAATTCCACTCATTGTCTTCATTGTATTCTAAACCTAAAGAAAACAAGGCGGCCTGCCCAGCAGCTCGTCCATAAAACATTAATCACTGTCCCCCTCCTTGAGAGGCTTCTGCCCAGTAAAGGTATGACCTACAGGAGCGATGGAAAAATCCTACTGGGTAGGCACATGGCCTGGCCATACTGTGGGCGGGGACTGTGGCGCCAGTTCCTCCAGTGCTTTTCCAGACCAGCTCCTGGCTTTGCTCACTGGGGTACTGTGGACCAGCCTGAGAACCCCCCCAAAAGAGAGAACCCTCCCTGAAGCTAACAAATTCCCAAAAAGTACCACAGTCCTTCAGGTCAAGTGGCAAGTGGCTGCCTTGAACCACTCACGGCTTTACACTGAGCCCTCCTTAAGCCTATATGAACTTGGAGCTGGATAATGATGCTGAGCTCAAGACCAGAGTCATGGGCCGTTAACCCCATTGAAGCTTTGTCATATCTATGTTGGACCAGTTGACTGACCCTAGTCCAATGTGCCTTCAAAGATCAATGCTTCTTCCTGTAGCTCTCGCAATACCTCTCCAGGGCCTGGAAAGAGGACTCTCCGTGATCCGGAAGAGAAAGTGAACTATCAAAAGAAAACGAAGGGACAGATGGCTCCAATGCTTGAGATTATCTCTAAATGTAGCTGAAATCCAACCTCGGGCTGATATGAATACTTATCACAGGGCCCTGGCAGGTGTTCCCTGCAAAGGATTTGAACAAGTCT